CTAAACACTACTACAAAAAAAAAAAAAAAAAAAGCTTAAACTTAGTGGGTTTTTTTTTTTCTGCCAATAGCACGTTTTTTTTTTTTTGTTTTTTTTTCTTCAGCTAGTGTGGATGGAGCCTTAACGTTTTTAATACATTTTAACAATCACAGGCTTTTTTCTGGCACTGCTACCATTTGCGTGTGGAAGCTCCCTTGTCAACAATCCACCCCACAGATTGTACCTTATAATAGACCCAACTCTAGTGCTAATTCACATCTACTGTCTGCATGGAGACTTGATTTTACTTTTAATGCTGATAGTGCTTTTTTTGCCACTTGCAAGTCAGTGCCTAGATGTGGAGGAGCATTATGTTTCTACTTTAACAATTTTTTTTTTTGTTATTAAAACTATACTTACCTTGGACAAAGTTATATGTAAAAAATGATATATAAATATATATAAAAAACTTACATGGTTTGCTGTTTTACCAGTCTGTTGCTGTTTAAAAAAATTAAAAAAAAAAAGGAAATATATCTTGTATAGATTCCAAACCAATGCGTGACAGTTTGGTATGTAGAAAAGGTGAAATTATAGAAAATAAAAAAAAAAAGATCTTATTACTTGTTAATGCAATGATATTTTCTGACAACTGATGCCAAGATAGGAGACATATTGTAACTGTGAGAATGACCCAGTTGCTTGATGATTTTCTTGTCTGTGTTGTATTTATGGTTTTTCAATAAAATTCAATTTAGACTATGTGCCTTGTTAACACCATCCTCAAAAAAAAAAATACAAAAAAGGTGACCGCAAAAAGATTGGCCTATACTGGGTGGCCAATTGCCAGTGTGTTCAGCAAGAGGGGATAGGCAGAAGAGTGATGTAAAAGTGACCTTACCTGGTTGCTTTGAGCAGGGCTTTGTTAACTATCGCTTTGTGTTTACAGGCTGCACACAGACATATGGTCAATTTTACTTTTTGTGCTGCTTTATATTGGACAGCTGCATGATGGGCCAGGTCTTGCCAGGGTTCATTAGTGTTGGTCTGATGGACCTCAACTCTATATTTGCTTTCCAATGAAAACTTAAACCATTTAGAATGTTACATAACTTTTCTGTACAGTAATAAAATACAGTCAGGTCCATAAATATTGGGACATCGACACAATTCTAACATTTTTGGCTCTATACACCACCACAATGGATTTGAAATGAAACGAACAAGATGTGCTTTAACTGCAGACTGTCAGCTTTATCTGAGGGTATTTACATCTAAATCAGGTGAACGGTGTAGGAATTACAACAGTTTGCATATGTGCCTCCCACTTGTTAAGGGACCAAAAGTAATGGGACAGAATAATAATCATAAATTAAACTTTCACTTTTTAATACTTGGTTGCAAATCCTTTGCAGTCAATTACAGCCTGAAGTCTGGAACGCATAGACATCACCAGACGTTGGGTTTCATCCCTGGTGATGCTCTGCCAGGCCTCTACTGTAACTGTCCTCAGTTCCTGCTTGTTCTTGGGGCATTTTCCCTTCAGTTTTTTCTTCAGCAAGTGAAATGCATGCTCAATCGGATTCAGGTCAGGTGATTGACTTGGCCATTGCATAACATTCCACTTCTTTCCCTTAAAAAACTCTTTGGTTGCTTTTGCAGTATGCTTTGGGTCATTGTCCATCAGCACTGTGAAGCGGCATCCAATGAATTCTGAAGCATTTGGCTGAATATGAGCAGATAATAATGCCCGAAACACTTCAGAATTCATCCTGCTGCTTTTGTCAGCAGTCACATCATCAATAAATACAAGAGAACCAGTTCCATTGGCAGCCATACATGCCCACGCCATGACACTACCACCACCATGCTTCACTGATGAGGTGGTATGCTTAGGATCATGAGCAGTTCCTTTCCTTCTCCATACTCTTCTCTTCCCATCACTCTGGTACAAGTTGATCTTGGTCTCATCTGTCCATAGGATGTTGTTCCAGAACTGTGAAGGCTTTTTTAGATGTCGTTTGGCAAACTCTAATCTGTCCTTCCTGTTTTTGAGGCTCGCCAATGGTTTCCATCTTGTGGTGAACCCTCTGTATTCACTCTGGTGAAGTCTTCTCTTGATTGTTGACTTTGACACACATACACCTACCTCCTGGAGAGTGTTCTTGATCTGGCCAACTGTTGTGAAGGGTGTTTTCTTCACCAGGGAAAGAATTCTTCGGTCATCCACCACAGTTGTTTTCCGTGGTCTTCCGGGTCTTTTGGTGTTGCTGAGCTCACCGGTGCGTTCCTTCTTTTTAAGAATGTTCCAAACAGTTGTTTTGGCCACGCCTAATGTTTTTGCTATCTCTCTGATGGGTTTGTTTTGTTTTTTCAGCCTAATGATGGCTTGATTCACTGATAGTGACAGTTCTTTGGATCTCATCTTGAGAGTTGACAGCAACAGATTCCAAATGCAAATAGCACACTTGAAATTAACTCTGGACCTTTTATCTGCTCATGGTAATTGGGATAATGAGGGAATAACACACCCTGGCCATGGAACAGCTGAGAAGCCAATTGTCCCATTACTTTTGGCCCCTTAACAATTGGGAGGCACATGCAAACTGTTGTAATTCCTACACCGTTCACCTGATTTGGATGTAAATACCCTCAAATTAAAGCGGACAGTCTGCAGTTAAGGCACATCTTGTTCGTTTTATTTCAAATCTATTGTGGTGGTGTATAGAGCCAAAAATGTTAGAATTGTGTTGATGTCCCAATATTTATGGACCTGACTGTAAGCTATCAGACAGATTTGTTTTCAAGAGAACAGTGGGGATTCCTTGTGGCACTATTACCCAAGTAAACAGCTGCAGTTTAATCACCACTTTCAAGGGCTGAAAATTATTAAATTTCTATCAGCAACAGCTTGAACATTAGGGGCTGGTTAACATTAGATGCAGTCCAGTGTGTTTTTCTTCTGCATCAAAAAAATTGCATGCACAGTGTTTTCCATGTATTCCAGTAGCCCTAGTTCACACCAGTGCAATTTCTGATGCAGAAAAAAAGAAAAAGCTGTGTTTTTTTCTGTAAAGAACTGTACTGGAACATAGCAAACTGCACCAGAAAGGAGTGTGGAGTGAACGGTAAGCAAAAACGAATCCGGAATGCATTTTTGTGGTGTGAACGGGCCCTAATATACAATACCCCACTATGGTCTATAGCAGTGATGGCGAACCTTTTTGAGCCCGAGTGACCAAAACTGCAACACAAACCAACTTTTTTATTTCAAAGTGCCAACACTGCAATTAACCATTTGCCTACCGGGCACTTCTACCTCCTTCCTGCCCAGACCAACCAATTTTCAGCTTTCAGTGCTGTTGCACTTGACCATGACAATTGTGCGGTCATGCAACACTCATTTTTTCACACAAATAGAGCTTTTTTTGGTGGTATTTAATCACCACTGGGTGTTTTATTTTTCGCACTATAAATGAAAAAAGAGCAAAAAATTAAAAACATAAAAAGGTTTTCTTTGCTTCTAATATAAAATTTTGCAAACAGGTAATATTTCTTCTTTGATGTGCGTTGGTGAGGCTGCACTAATAGGCAGCACTGATGGGCATTGATGAGGCGGCACTGGTGGGCATTGATGAGGAGGCACTGATGATGTACTGATATGCAGTAATGATGGGCACTGATAACACTGTTCAACAGGTAAAAAGTTTTGGGCATAAAATTAGCTAATCTTACATAATTTTGGGGTGCTGAAAACGAAAATGACCCTAAAAAATGTTGATTGGCTCTAGTTTCCATGATATATTCACCCATCTAATGACGTAAGCCATTCAAAATTCAGCTGCATATTGCACAATTGATACTGGTGACCAATAGAAAATTGCATGTATACTGAGATGATGCAATATTAGTCTTTAATTGCATCACTTCACTGCATAAAAGCTGCAGTATCTGTAGCTGATTGTAGTTCGACAGCGTCTTTACATTTTGTTTTATGCTTATATAGGCTACTCAGTAATGCCTTGAACTTGTGTGAATAAAGCAGATAATTTCTACTATATCTGCGGTGAAATAACTTTTATCTCACAAAAAAGGAGGATAACAGGAATGATTAAGAAAGCCTACAACTTGTATTTTGGCTGCAAGATAGGAGACCAGGACAAGAGCTGGGCACCACGTATATGCTGCAATTCTTGTGGGATGGCACTGGAGCAATGGTTGAATGGAAAAAAGGCATCTATGCCTTTCGCTGTGCCAATGATTTGGAGAGAGCCAACAGATCATGTTAGTAATTGTTACTTTTGTATGGTGCCTCCAATTGTAAAAGGGCTAAATAAGAAGAAAAAGTTATCTGTGCACTATCCAAATATTCCATCGGCAATACGTCCAGTTCCTCATGGAGAGGGGCTACCAATTCCTAAAGCACCAGAATCCTTCGTGGTTGAGTCAAGTGAGGAAGAACCTGAAGCGTGTAGTCACGTGCAGTTGTAAGAGATAGCCCTTTCCTCGAATACAAGAGAAAAGCCAAGAGAAGCAAAACCGACACAAACTGAAGACAAAACTAGTGAGAATCCTAAGTATTAAAATGATTCAACTTAGCTTCTGGCTATAATTTTTCTTGGTAATCCTATGCAATATATTATGCCATTTAGGCTTTGTTATGTAGTCAATATCACTTGCTTTATATTTGTGGAAAGACATCTATCTATATAATTATTGTGCATTATGTAGTCATTACGCCTATAGTAGAAAACTTTCCGTTTACAGAAAAACTAGAGCCAATTGACAAATTTCATTGTTATATTTTAACTCAGAATGTGAAATTCATTAAGAAATGGATCCTTTTGTTTCCAAAACTGGCAAAAAATAAAAATTTGTTGAACAGTGTAAGCGGCACTGACTGATAGCACCAACTGGAGGCACTGACAGACGGCACTGATCGGCAGCACTGCTGGGCATCATTGATGGGCGACACTGTTGGGCACTGACAGGTGGCACTGCTGGGTGACACTTCTGGGCACTGATGGATGACACTGCTGGGCATCATTGATGGGTGGCACTGATGGGCGGCACTGCTGGGCATCATTGATGGGTGGCACTGATGGGCGACACTGCTGGGCACTGACAGGTGGCACTGCTGGGCAGCACTGACAGGCGACACTGCTGGGCACTGATGGGTGGCACTGCTGGGCACTGACAGGTGGCACTGCTGGGCAGCACTGACAGGCGACAATTCTGGGCACTGATGGATGACACTGCAAGCAGTTAATCTCACCTCTGGCAGTGTTGGTGTGGCTTCCAACCCAGCAGCTCATTCCCATCCACGCTGAACACGTTGCCCCTGGCCCCGGAGCAGTGTGGGAGCCTCTTCTTGTCTTCCACGCCCATCCCCGGCTACATCACCCCTGGTGCCAGATCCACATAGGAGCCGTTTCCTCTCTTCCCACACCCACCCTGGCCCCAGAGACATGTGGGAAATGTAGTTTGATGGGGGTCCAGTGTGGACGAGATCTGGATGGCCGGTCCGTGTACGCTCATCTTCCTGGCGTGCCCACTGAGATGGCTCTGCGTGCCAGCTCTGGCACACGTGCCATAGGTTCGCCATCACTGGTCTATAGCCTACCTATAAAGCTGGAAAACAATGCTGATAAAGGGTGTCATGGTCTGACCAGGGGTGGATTGACAACTCATGGGGCCTCTGGGAAATTGAAGATCATGGGGCTCCTGTGTCCTTGCCCACACCCAAAAAAGCCAATGAAAGGTATCTCATGGGGCCCCCTACTGACCCCAGGCCCTCGAGCACTGCCGAGGGCTCAAATGGTCAGTCTGCCCCTGGGTCTGATAAAGTTGCATGCGATTTATGGTGTCAAACATGAGTAGCCCAGGATTAGTATGCAGATCCCTGAAGTGTATATTTAGAACCTGTGCTTTCTTCATGGAGGCTAAAAGAGCAGGTTTGCTGTAGATCCCTCACCCCGGTATCATATTCTTACCCGTCACTGAGAAGGAAGTGCAGAATGTGCCATCAGCTATGACAGCATTGGCCCCTGGGGTAGGGGGGATGCAGGCTGAGACCTGTATAAACACTTATTACTGTGACTGAGCTATACGGGGTGGAAGCTGGCCATACATGGATCAAAGTTCAGCAGGGACCAGCTGCATTTCAATCCATGTAAGCACTGTGACTGAACAGAATTTGTCTACCAATCAACTTCTGCTCAAGAAGGGTCAATCTGTGTATTCGGATACTGGACGATTCTCCCTGTTGTCAAGACTACAACCTACCCAGTATATGGCCAGCTTTACTTTCAGTGCCTGTGGCTGAACACTGTCAGGAGAAGGTAAGTGTGCTGGCGGGGGAAGCATCAAAGTCAACCTACCTCCATTGGGGGAAAATAGATTTCCTGTATGTTCATGATAGAAGTGGGAGCAGGACCGCCAGGTCTTCTTGGAGCACAGAGGTTTTGATTTACAGCCATCACCGGCCATTGAAGAAGAAAAAAAACCACGTATGAATCTGGTTCAATATATATTATACGCGCCATGTTGCAGCTTTACGATGTTTGTAGCCTACAGTAAGAAATGCAGAGCCTGTCTGTTTCTGGCTTGGAGACATTGGGGTTGATTTACTAAATAAAGTAGGCTGTTCACTTTGTAAGAGGATTTTTCCCCAGAGGTTAGTGAATGTGGTGAAATTTCACTTTACAAAGAATACTCGATCACATGCAATTAAAACATAACTGGATGATAGATGTCAGCAGAGCTCCCAGACTGCAGAAACAAGCGCCTATCGATGCTTTAATCAGGAAAGGGGAAGCAATCCATTTATTGTCATTGCCTTATTTGGCCAACATAAAATGTCCATAGCAAGAAACCATACACAACTAAGTGTAAAAGGTGAAAGTGCTACTAAACCCACAACAGTAAAATCAGTCTGTATATGCAGTAAAGCATGCTTGTTATACTCATGTGGAACTTAAGGGGTTAATCCTCTGCTTTGTATAAAAGCCTGTTTGAGCTTCCTTCTCTGCCCCTCTTGTTGAAATGACCACCTGATACAGACTGACTCTATAGTCACATACACATGCTCAGTTTGGTGTGTATTACTAGAGGTTTTCTTTTAATTTTTTGTTGGAGAGTGCATATGATCATCACAAGGCCAATCAGCACTATCCAGAGAGAGGCAGGACTTTCACATCCTCCTTGAGCAGAAAGCAAACACCTACAAGCTTTAACCAGTGCTTTGCTGAAGTCACAAGACTGCTCTAACTGCTGATGAGAAAAGGTATTTATCAGTTTATATTTACTAAAATAATTGCACTTCCATGTTCTGTAGGAGAGTAGATATAGTGAATGCGGGGTCCTGGGTCTAGTAACACTTTAACCACTTGCCAACTGCAGATAGCCAAAGGACAGCTTCACTGCGGTCAGCCAGTTCTGGGAAAGCGTCATATGATGTCCTTCCAGAATACACCCTCCCGCGCACAGCCAGTGATCTCCATGTCCTATGGACACAGCTGATCTCGGGATGTGGTCAAAGGTCAATCACAGCAGCCTTTTAGCACGTGATCAGCTATGTCCAATAACACAGCAGATCATCAGTAGTCGCAGTTGCTGGTTATCAGCTGCACTTTCCTCACAGCGTGAGGAAAGAACTGCCGATAACCGGCAATTGTCAGGAGGGATCAGCGCTGATGATTGGTGCCCAGCAGTGCAACCTCAACACATCAGTGAAGGAGAAAAAGTACCTGTTTGCAAAAATTTATAATAGAAACAAAAAAAAAAAAAAAATTTCTCTTTTCAAAGCATTGCTCTTTTTTGTTTATAGTGCAAAAAAATTAAACACCCAGCAGCAAGTACATACCACCAAAAGAAAGCTCCATTTGTGTGAAAAAAAAAACAAATTTCATATGGGTACAGTGTTACATGACCGCGCAATTGTCACTTAAAGTGCGACAGCGCTGAAAGCTGAACATTGGCCTGGGCAGGCAGGGGGGCATAAGTGCTCAGTAGGCCAGTGGTTCAGCAACAGGTCACAGATTCTCTCAAATATGTTCTGTCCCCCTTTGTAATGTACAGCGCTGAGCAAACCATTTGCGCTTTATAAATACTGTATAATAATAATATAGCAATTAGCATATTAAGCCATGCAAATCCACATCATTTCTGTTTGTCTGGGATACCACCATGAGTGTATATGTACACAGCCATCCATGGGAAGATTTATTTTATTTAAAGCATAACTTATTTTTAAAATGTTTTTTACACCCCCCTCAAATGTATACTTCACTGAATTGGTCCACCATGGGCCCAGCAATTCAACTTCTTAGACCTCTATAGGGCCATCAGAAGAAGGTATCATAGAAGTGGGGCTGCCATGTGCCTGGAACTAGTCTCCTGAACACACTGAAGGGCACAGGCACCTGCTTTAGGCAAAAGTATACATCTGGAACAAAAGCCTGTTCTTTCTAGAAAAGTAGAGTTTTGTTTTACCATATGGTCATAAGACAATAGCAACATACATGTTTACATGCAACTTATATGACGTGTAGCAGGACATATTTTCAAAGATTTTGTTCAGATAACAGCATACTGGTCTTAAAGTGTTGTAAAACCCAAAACCCTGCATTCACTATATCTGGTCTCATTACACAGAACATGGACATTCAATTTTTTTTTTCAGTAAATATAAACTGCAAAATACCTTTTCTCATCAGCAGTTAGAGCAGTCTTGTGACTTCCATCAGTGTTCAGCAGAGCACTGGTTAAAGTTTGGAGTTTTCCTTTCTGCTCTAGGAGGATGCAGAACCCCTCACCTCTGTCTGGACAGGGCTGATGGGAGAGTACATGTGATCAGCAGAAGGTCAAAAACCTCTGCACATGCTCAGTTTGGTGTGTATTGCTACAGAGCGTCCACAGAATAGGTCTCATCATCAGGAGATAAGAGGGGGACACTGGAAGAAGGGGAGGATCAGAGAAATCAGAATCAAACTGCATTTTTACACAATGCAGAGGATTAACCACTTAGCTTTCACAGCAAGTACATGAAGCATGCTTTACTGCATATACAGACTGATTTTACTGTTGTGGGTTTAGTAACACTAACATTCCTGTCTATTTGTACAATGAAAGTCTGATCACATTGAATTCTACACAAATGTGAGATTTTATCATTCCATCAGTTTTTGTACCTTGGATGTTATTTGGGTTGATAACATTTGATCAAGTGTTTCTACAGTGGGGCAGACTACATTATGACCTCATTTTACAGAAAGGAAACCCCTGCTCAGGAAATCAATTCACATGTCTCAACACACCCTGGCATGTAATTACTGGCTAAATATTAACAGGGAATGACCAGAAACTGGCTCAGGTGAACTTTGCAACACTTGATAATCTCTGTACAAGTACAGTTCCCAACAAACCTCAGCAAATTAGCCCTATCTATACTCAATTTATGCAAACTGGAATTTACAAATCATTGACATAAGAAATGAAAAACACCTAAAAAAAAATGAGATGGTAGTGGGGTAGACATTGCCAGACCTGAACCACCATACACAAAAGCAGCAGCATCACTGCCTCCATAGTCCTCAATATGGCTGCCTATGCATTTGTTTATATGGTGCTTGTCTGGGAAAACCCTTCACTGCACACAGGCAGATCACAGATGGTGACCAGGAAGGGTCTGTATGCACCCAGGACTATGTGCTGAGAAAGTTACCAAATTTAAACAAGCCTTTGCTTTGTCCAATCAAAGTCAACAGGTTTGCTTTAAAGCTTCCACCTCAACAGTATTTTCTCACCTCTTTAGGCCCTGCTGCTACCTTTCCTGCCAAAAGTGACCATCATTGAAAGACAGAGCCTTGAATTGTGGGATTAACAGGTCATGCCAAGTTCCATCTTTTAGGGCCAATTCACTCATTGTACAGCGGCAGATGTTTTACTGCATTGTAAACCACCTGTCACCAAAAGGACACACAAAGCAATTGTTTCCTGTGTGTCCCACCGCCTGCCACCGAAAGGACACACAAAGCAATAGTTCCCTGTGTGTCCCACCGCCTGCCACCGAAAGGACACACAAAGCAATTGTTTCCTGTGTGTCCCACCGCCTGCCACCGAAAGGACACACAAAGCAATTGTTTCCTGTGTGTCCCACCGCCTGCCACCGAAAGGACACACAAAGCAATTGTTTCCTGTGTGTCCCACCCCTGTCACCGAAAGGACACACAAAGCAATTGTTTCCTGTGTGTCCCACTCCCTGTCACCAAAAGGATACACAAAGCAATTGTTTCCTGTGTGTCCCACTCACACTCCAAAACAGCCCAGATGCCTGCATTTTATCGCAGTGCACTGTGCTGCTGTATAGCTCCAATGAAGTGTACATTTTGTACACTTCAAATAAAGTTTTTCAAAAAAAAAAAGCTGAATCGCACAACACACTGCCAGGAACAGATAGCTAAAGTGCTCCAGCAGCTGTCCTGGTCTAGTGTGAACCCAAACTTAGAAACATTTCTATGGGCACTTGAATATGAAAAATGTATAGCATGCTTCCATTCCAAATGCCCTTTACACACCTGAACAGAATGTGTGCCAGATGCAGCCTGGGTGGGTTTTTATTTGTTACCTTATGTTTAACTGCAATACCAAATAAGCAAGGACTCCCCCCTTTTTCCATTTTTTTAGGCCACAACATAACACAAAACTGGCATTAAGGCAAAACTACTATGCTTAAAATGGTATACATCAATATTAATTCAGCCCCACCGTAAAAGCACATCATAAAGTGCCTATCAATCTGTGAAAAGGAGGTTTTAGCTTTTGGACTAACAGATTTATATCAAATGTGTTTCCCCATTAGAGCTTGGTCACCCTAGTGCAGAAAATGAGAGCAGTATATATCTGCATATGCCATGACAAACTGCCACAAGAAGAATGAAACTTGTGTGCATGCAAAGTTTTCTACATTTTCATTATACCATAATTTCCTATTGCAATGTGACCAACCCCTGAATGGTTATTAAATCCCAAGTAGTCAACCCATCAATTAATAAAATATCAAAATCATCTTCATAGTCAAAGATGACCACTATGTCATTTGACAACTATTCCTCTTGCCAACGCTGGTCTTCATATTTGGGGTAGCCAAAACCACAAAATCCACTTTTCCTCTAACAACTTCAGGATCAAAGTACTCATCTAGATAACCAGAAACAATAAAGACAGGATACGAGAGGATGGAAATTAAGCACTTCTAATGGAAGACAAATTAAACAGTGTGCACCCAATTTTACAATATCAAAAAAGGCACAAGCTCAAAGTTGTAGCACTACTATTAACAAGTCTTAAAGTGCAGAGTAGTGATCAAGAGTTATTCTGCTCCTTTTAGTCAAGGCCATCAGCCATAAAAATGGTACCATAAGTGCAGTGCAATAAAAGATTTGTTACCAAAAAAGAATTGTCTAGAAAGCACCATCTTTCTTTAGTTGAAGCCATACTATAACAAGCCAGTTAAGCTTTAAAGCCCAACTCCATGCAAAAAACAAAAATTCCAGTGCAGTGGAACTGTGCCCACACTGCATAGGTTAACTGCTTGTTTTTTTTAGGGGAGAGAAGAGCAGAGATATACTTACTGATCCTTCCAGCCCAAGACTTGTCTGGCACCCCACACTCCAGCAGTCTTAAATAGTGGACTGTTCCTGACATCATGCCCAGAGCAGGCTCCATAGACCGGAAATAGTCTACTGCCGTACTGTGAAGCATCCTTTTCTGGAGATCGAAGGATCAGGTGATTATGAGCTTTCTGCTCACCCCTAGACAAAGCAAGCAGTTGACCTGTGCAGTTGTGGGCACAACCGCAGTGAATTGGGAGAAAAAATAATTTTGCCTGAAGATGGGCTTTTAAGTACGCTTTTAGAATTTATACTCAAAAGGCCTGTAGGATGGAAAAAGGGCGATCTAAACTGGCTGGCCCTTGCCAACAGCTCTAAAGGGGGTGAAAGGCATGTTTGGTAGAGTGGAAGGTTGTCAGAAATTGAATAGAAATAGCCATCCCTTTAATCCTGGTGTTTCTGTATTTTTAGTGATGATACCTCCCCAACCAGCTGTATATTGCTCTTCCTTCCAGCTAAACATTTCTTGAAAAAAAAAAAAAAAAAAGGTCTAGTTTCACCACAACCATTTCCATGCTGCCACGGAGGTAACAGCTTGCTCCTTTGTGACCAGTCTCAAAACTAGACAAGTTCTGACAAATGAAGTACAGAAAGTGGTCAGAGGAAGGACTTGTGTCTTTGAAGGGATGATCCTCTGAAGCAGGACTCGCGTAACCTTTCTGGAGAAGCAGCCTAAAGTTTCACTTCAGATTTCTAATCTTTTGGATTCTTTTCTTCAAGTATGAAAAAACGAATACCGATAAGTGAATAAAAATGCACCCTTTTGATGCCATTCATATTCAAATGCAGATTCTGGAAACACCGCATCAACCCTAGGCACATAGGGTGGAACCTCCATCTATGACCAGGTTTAAGCATTCCAAAGGAAAAAAAGTCGAAGCCTTGTGTAAAAAAATAAATATTTCACATTTCATTTACAGTTCTTGATTACAAGTATTGTATGATAATGTCTTTGGTATAAAAAAAGGTTTTGCATATAGGCACTCTTAACGGAAGCCTAGTAAAGTTCTTTTCACCAATCCAGCCCATCCTCCTGGAAGGTAAGCCTAGGGCTGTTGTCACTGTAGAACTGGGAGTACCACCGACGGTGTTTGGCAATGGCAGAGTCCTCTTTAACAAGTAGTGGCTTGCTGATGTATTTTTTGTTGTTCCAGACCATCACATCCCGTTCAAACTGCAGTAAAGATTTTAGAGCATTAGAAAATGTGTGGCGATATTTTTCACAGACCTAATTTTGTTTTCGCCCATTTATTATTATTATACAGTATTTATATAGCACCAAAGGGTTTGCTCAGCGCTGTACAAAGGCAAGGGGACAAGAAATGAGACAAGACAGAGTGCGATACACGAGGGGTTCGAGGGCCCTGCTCTTTCGAGCTTACAATCTAGGAGGGAGGGGAAAGTGGTACAGGAGGAAGTGGCTCTGGGGGATGAGGTGGTGGGAGGAGTGGAAGTCAGATGTTAGGTGAGGGAGGGGTAGGCCTCCCTGAAGAGGTGGGTCTTCAGGGTGCGCCTGAAGGTGGTGAGGGTGGGTGACAGTCTGATGGATTGGGGTAGGGAATTCCAGAGGATGGGGGAGGTCCTGGAGAAGTCTTGTAGTCAGGCGTGGGAGGAGGAGATCAGGGAGCTAGAGAGTAGGAGGTCCTGAGAGGAGCGAAGGGCACTGGTAGGGTAGTATTTGGGTATCAGGTCAGTTAAGTAGGTTGGGGCAGCATTGTGGATGGCTTTGTAGGTCAGGGTTAGTAGTTTGAATTTGATGCGTTGGGCAATCGGGAGCCAGTGAAGTGATTGGCAGAGGGGGGTTGCGGATGTGGAGCGGTTAGTGAGGTGGATGAGTCTCGCCGCAGAGTTCATGATCGACTGGAGTGGGGTTAGCGTTCGTTTGGGTAGGCCGGTGAGGAGGGAGTTGCAGTAGTCCAGGCGTGAGATGACGAGGGAGTGTACGAGTAGTTTGGTAGTGTGTGGGGTGAGGAATGTACGTATCCTGGAGATGTTGCGGAGGTGGAGCCTGCATGATCTTGACAGCATTTGGACGTGGGGTAGGAAGGAGAGGTGGGAGTCCAGGGTGACTCCCAGGACCTTGGCAAGTGGGGTGGGAGTGATGGTGGCGTGGTTAGTGTGGAGAGGATGGGGGGGCGGGGGAAGACCATTCTTGTTTGTGCTGCAGCACTGACACTAAATTCAAATGCTTTGTGTGCCCCTTTAGTTGCACCCAGCAGTTTGCTGGAGTTAGGCTTTAATATGTTGTTAGTCACATGTGTAACGTTCATCTAAGGCTTCATAAATGTGCCCCGGGTGACTAACGCATGTACCCACATGGGAATACACAGGTATCCTGTGCATTCCTGTGGGCAGTCCTATTGCCATCAATTGGGATGCAGCGGCTGCAGACATTGCTCCCAATGTTACCTCCACATCAATGTACAGCCTCAAATGCACCTGCACAGATGTCAGATTGGAAGCAGCGGCTGTGTCCGTGCAATTGACAGCAATGTTGATGCACAGAACACCTTTAAACACAGTCACACAGGGCGCAGATTCATACATTTGTGATCAAGGCCTTAGACTGTAATTTTAGTGTAATGTTGATCTAATTCCTGGCCAACACTTTTTAAGCAGTTACAGGCGGTTTCTTCCTTTTTGGGATAAAGGTTTTAACCTAATGGTTTGTCACACCCTCCCAACTTCCAATTTTGCTGGACAGCTTGGTCTGTTAAAGTTAAAATACGTGCTGGCAGGATCAACAGGTAATAAAAGCAATGGTACAGGAGATTGCATCCTGTGCGTCATTTTGCCCATAGTTCCCATTTAAGCACTACTATGTGTTGGAAAGACATTGGTTCATTCTGTCTCTGCAAATTCTTATCCCTAGTTCTTGACTTGTTATAATTATATGCCTCTGCCATATACTTCTCCTGGCCATGGTAGTATCCCCCTTCCCTGCCTGGCTGGAACCCATTACCCACCTGTGTACACTCTGCCAACAAAATAAACCTAGGGACGATGGTGGGGTAATTCTTCTGGTAGTAGATGCTGTGTGATACTTTCTGCATGAGAGGCTCCACAGGGGTCACGCAATGCAGAATTATGCCTTGGCCCAGGAAGGAATGTTGAAAGCTCAAAAACACTATTCCAGGTCCGACCTGAAGAGAGAAGACATTATAGGGTCTGATGAGCAGGGAGTACCAAATTCCACAAGATGCAATGTAAATGGAAAACATTTAAACCAGTAACCACCGACCAATCTAAACAGCTTTTGAAAAAAAATTGGACTGCTAACAATTGCAAGCAACTGATCTGATCTGAAGATGCTTTTCATTTCAAAAATAAAATCCGAGAGATTTAGCTTTAACAACTTCAGTTATTTTGATTGCAGGAAATCTCCAGGATGGTTTTTTTATTTTTAAAAAAAAAAGTCAAGCCATGGGATGCATGAAATATGAATTATGGACTGCTGTCAGTTTTTCAGCACGTTACTCAAATGTATTGCTCCCAATGCCAGCTAGATGATCATCCTCTAGGAGTTTCTAACGAGTGAATCCTTACACATAATATAATGAAGGAAGTTTCTATACATTCTTAGACAGCAGAAGACCAGGACTATTTACCTGACGAGCAACAACATCCACATCGAGCAGTGAGAAGTGTTTCCCAAAAACTAGTGAGGCATGTTTGAGCGTCATTCTAGAACAATGCTTGTTAGGGGCTGGTTCTGCCTCCCACTGAACCTGAAGGTAAAGGAAAAGTCAATTGACACGGTTCCCACAGTAGATTACATTTCATTTGTAAGATTAAAAAGCACCAAAGGAGTCACACATTTAGACCAATCCTCAATCGATCCAGCACTGTGCCTGGCTGCACCTCCTCTCCCTCTCCACAGGAACTGAGGCACGAAGCATGGAGTGTAGTCTGCCCCAAACACCTGATATTTTTCACAACTCTCTGTCCTATCCTTCTCTACAATGGATCAGCTGTTCGGATGAGCACCCCCAGTAGTACAAGAGTGAGCACTGTCCTTCGGAGCCCCACACATGCAGTGCTCTCTTGCCTCCACAGACCACCCCAGCAGCTGAAACACTCCCATTGCAGCCACTGAGCTCATTTGCGCAGTGGAGAGCAGATTGTACATGTGCAGGGCTCAGGAGGATGGCACTCTTCTGCACTGCTAGGGGGTGCTCGTCCTAACAGCTGGTCTGTCAAAGGAGGATGAGGTTGTGAAATATAAGAAGTGCTTGGGGCAGGCTACACTTTATGCTCCTCCCATACCTGTAGGCCAGCGGTAGGCAACCTTAAAGAGGTGGAAATCTACCTAAACAAGGCAGACGTCAAAGATCACCGGGCCCAGTGTCTCCTCTTCACACCTGATTTAAACCACTAATTGCCGTACTACCGTATGACAATCGCATGCATTGCACAGCAATCGTGGATTTAAGTCAGGTGGTGAGGAGGCAACATATCGCTTCCTCACCACCTGTCTAACACAGATTGCTTTTCAAAGGAGCAGCAATACCTGCTGCATTGGTGAATGAGCCCTTAGTTGCATTCAGCAGTGGCGCCATTAGGGCTCGTTCTTACAAAGTTGGGGGGGGGGGTTAAAACTCTGCAGTTGAGTCTTGGTTTTACTGCCCCCAAACCCTACCCCCTTTAACTGCTGAGAAAGCAGTCAAAGGTGTACACATTTCACAGCAGGAATTAAACCCCCTGTTGCTTTTAGAGGGTGCTATCCACTGGCAATCGTGACCTATGCAAGTAAATGGGGCCACTCTGCAAGCTCCCCATAACTATGCTTCTGCGGGGTCCAAGTGTTATAGCAGGTGGTGAGAAAGCAACACAACCCTGCCTGCTTTAACTCCTTGCTTACTGTACAAGGTTGCAGGGTACTTGCAGATCAGCCTCATTCACTTGAACAGGTCATGCTTGGCAGGTGCTATCCACCAACCTCGACAGGGTGGACAACTGCGACATGTGTACACCCTTGGTTACTGCAGCTAAAGGGGGTGCGATTGGGAAGGTGGTGGTAAAAACACTATGGGGTTTTACTACTCCCCAAACTGCAAATGTAAACTTACAGTTCTGAGCCCCCTATACGGCTGCTTTCAGACTGATGTGCTGCGGTTTACCTGCACCGCCTGTGCAGTGCAGGGTGACAGACAGCTGGGTTAGCTGCACTTTTCCATAGACTTCTATTATATCCTGCAGGCGTGGTACACTTTCTGAAAGTGTGCCAAACCCACAGGATCTAATAGAAGTATGTCCAAGCGCAGCAAACCTGAAGGAAAGCTGGAGGTACACTGCACCCACAATGTGTGCGAACCGCAGTGCATCAGTGTGAAAGCAGCCCCATACCATTATGCCCAGTGTATTGCTTCACACTGACCTGAAGGTCTTTCCTGCTTCTGGCACCACTCTGGAGACTGCTAGCTAGGATAAAAGGTGGAGTGCAGTTAACTCTCCACATAGGACAGGAGCCAGCACTACAGAGGAGGCATCGGCTTATGTAGCTCTAGCTCCCTACTACAGCTCCAACTTTCCAAGTAGTCCACCAGCATTGCACTTGGATGGGGAGGTAGCGATCTACTAGTCACCTGGCTGTGATCTACAGGTTGCTGACCCCCGGTGTAGGGAATTTGAGCACAAACTGATTTTTAAAATTTGATTAGTTTACAATCATAAAATGGCATTCATGGACTGCAGAGGTTTTTTTTTTTTTTTTATTAAAAAAAAAAAAAAAAAAAAAAAAAAAGGTAAACTAATCCTTTAACTCTTAGTAACATCAAACCAGCAACTATGTAGCCCATAAAATCCAAATATTTATTGGCTACATACTAAAAGACACTGGTAACAGCTTGTTACCAGTGTTTATGTATCCAATAAAGATTTGGATATTACAAACCACACAGTTGCTGGCTTGATGTTACTATGGATCTGATCTTTTGAGTGCGGGAGCACTATAGCCAGTCCCAGGGGCGGACTGACCATTCGAAAACTCGGGCACTGCATGAGGGCCCAGGGCCAGTAGGGTGCCCCATGAAATGCCCCGGTACCTTTTTATAGGCTTATTTGGGTGTGCTTTGAGTGTGGGCAAGGACACAGGGGCCCCATGATCCCCTATTGCCCAGAGGCCCCATGAGTTAGTCCGCCCCTGGCCAGACCACCAATCTTCAGCCATTTATTTCAGGTACTTATATAGCGCCGTCAAATTTATGCAGCGCTTTACATACAGTTGTGTTCAAAATAATAGCAGTGTGTTGAAAAAAGTGAATAAAGCACAAAATCCTTCTAATAGCTTTTATTTCCATACACACAAATGCATTGGGAACACTACACATTCTATTCCAAATCAAAACAAGAAAAATATCAAATTTGTGTTGTTCCTCTAAAAAAATTGAAGAAAAGTGATTAGACTGTTCAAAAAAAATAGCAGTGTTTGTATTCCTCTTTACAAACTCAAACATTCACTATATAAACTGAAAAATGTTTGAAGATTTTGCTTTCCTTTGAATCACTTAATGAATATTTCGTTGTATAAGCACTGTTTCTGAGAACTGCTGTACATCTATGTTGCATGGAGTCAACCAACTTCTGGCACCTGTGAACAGGTATTCCAGCCCAGGATGATTGGACTACATTCCACAGTTCTTCTCTATTTCTTGGTTTTGCCTCAGAAACTGCATTATTGATGTCACCCCACAAGTTTTCTATTAAGATCCGGGGATTGGGCTGGCCACTCCATAATGTCAATCTTGTTGGTCTGGAACCAAGATGTTGCATGTTTACTGTTGTGTTTGGGGTCGTTGTCTTGTTGGAACACCCATTTCAAGGGCATTTCCTCTTCAGCATAAGGCAGCATGACCTCTTCAAGTATTCTGATGTATTCAAACTGATCCATGATCCCTGGTATGCGATAAATAGGGCCAACACCGTAGTATGAGAAACGTCCCCATATCATGATGCTTGCACAACCATGCTTCACTGTCTTCACAGTGTACTGTGGCTTGAATTCAGTGTTTGGGGGTCGTCTGACAAACTGTCTCCGGCCACTAGACCCAAAAAGAACAATCTTACTTTCATCAGTCCACAAAATGTTGCGCCATTTCTCTTTAGGCCAGTCAATGTGCTCTTTGGCAAATTGTAACCTCTTCAGCACATGTCTTTTTTTTCAACAGTGGGACTTTGCGGGGGCTTCTTGCAGATAGCTTGGCTTCACATAGGCGTCTTCTAATTGTAACAGTCCTCACAGGGAACTTTACACCTTCTTTGATCTTCCTGGAGCGGATTGTTGGCTGAGTCCTTGCCATTTTGGCTATTCTTCTATCCATTCGAATGGTAGTTTTTCGCTTTCTTCCACGTCTTTCAGGTTTTGGTTGCCATTTTAAAGCATTTGCGATCATTTTAGCTGAGCAGCCTATCATTTTCTGCACTTCTTTATATGTTTTCCCCTCTCCAATCAACTTTTTAATCAAGGTACGCTGTTCTGAACAATGTCTGGAATGACCCATTTTCCTCAGAATTGCAGAGAGAAGAGAAATGCACTGTAACCAGCATGTACATTTGCTGCCTTCCTTCCTTAAAGGAAATAATTGCCACCTGTTTTTCAAAGAATGAATGACCTCACTAGTAGAACTCCAGACTGCTATTATTTTGAACATGCCCCTTTCAATTAGTGATTCAATTACACAGAATCAGCAGCATGCATGTCACGACTGTTGGGTCTGTTGGATCTCTATTACTCTACTACACCTGCTAGTAAATTATTTGCCATGTAGAAATATCATTTCTACCAAAAACAGTGATTGATCAGGTTAGTGATGTCTGACTTATTTTGAACACAACTGTATATATTGTACATTCACATCAGTCCCTAACCCTCAAGGGGTGTACAATCTAAGGTAATTAGAAGCTGAACTCACAGTTGAGCTTGGATATTGTTCATTTGCTAACCCTTTAACCCTGGCATATCACTGACCTGGAAAAGGTATATCTTTAATCAGGAGTCAAGACCAGGTTAAAGTGACTATAAACACTCACCTTGTACCACAACCCATTCAGTTTTAAAATAGAAAGGAAAGGCAAAACATTTATAGATATAAAAACAATATTTTCACTTTTATAAGTGATCACATCCCCTCTGTTCACAGCTGCACAAGAACTGGGGAAGGAGAACCAGCATCACACTGATCTTCCCAGTGAATGGCTGTGCAGGAGTGTGTCAGGATCTGATCATTGGAGGAAAGCAGAAAGTTCCCAGCATAGCCAGGGAACAGACCACGCTGTACTCCTGTTTAGTGTGGTAAGTTTATTGGAAAGCAAAGGGGCTGGCAGAAACACCAGGGATATCACAGGAGAGAACAGTGAGACTTTCATATAAGTACATGGCATAGCAGGTATATGAAATGTTGGGTTTACATATTCTTTAAAACAGTCTTACCTTCCATGTGTGCCTCAAAAATTCCCACATCTTCGACTTTGTGTATCGTAAGTCAATCCCACTCAGGATGCTCGGCTCATGCAGAAAATCAAGGTGAGCAATGTCCGCCGCATTCTCTGGTATTTCCTGTAATTGGTGAACAAAGGTGAAAACACTGCTCCTCCATACGGTACAGTAAGCATCGTCACATTAGGACAGGGCATAACATATGTTAAAGGCAGAATCAGCAGGTGAAAAAGCCTGAAAACTAATGCAGCCACCACATTTAAGGACTGATAAGCTGAAATATTAAAATGTTTCGTTTTATACGCATATGAACAACAATCTAACACCTTAAACTGCATTTCTTTTGGGTAGATTTGTAACAAATAAAACCCACATCAGGTTTTGTGTGTCCGCACCTCAGATTCACCCTTTATTTGTTCTAGAGACCATTTTCACCACAATGGAAGGTGATGGAAAAATCTAACATTTTAGATTTGTCACCTGGGGAAAAAAAAAAAAAAAAAAAAACTTGCAATCAGGACCCCCAGTTCCAGCAACAACCAAGACAGGAATTTCCTCTCACTTTGGAGGGTTTCCCACATTTCCCTACAGTAGATATTCCTTTCTCTACAACCAAAAAAAAAAAAAAAAAAAAAAAAAAAACATGCACACTAACTTTTTCACATACAGTAAAAACATGCAAAGTTTGCTGATTTTTGGAAAGCACAAGCAAGCCATTTTACCAGTTTTTCTGCTCATTATGTTGATAGGTAAGTGGATAATTGTGGACATCTCTCCAGGGGAACTCATTCTTAATACACTATTAAATCACTGAACTAAAACCAGTATGCAGGAAATTGTGTATATTGGTTCCAGGTCGGTCATTAAAAACAAAGGATGGCAGTAGCAACATCTGTATTTCTATTCTGAAATGTTCCTTTTGAGGCTTGCTGTTTGGAGGTTAGAAGGAACAAGACTGGTTAGGAAGGCTGGTGTAGGACGCATGGAGAAATGCTCTATACCAGGGTTTCTCAAACAAGGTTCCATGGAATCCAAGGGTTCCTTCAGGAGGTTGCTGGGGATTCCCTGAGCAATTTATGCACCACTGATCTTTTTAGCTATCTGTAAGGGGGTAATTCTTGTCAATGACCACAAAACTGAGTATTTGTCCCACTGACCATCACACTAATGTATCATGAGTTGTAGACAGAGCAACCCTTGAAATAACTTTCCAGTTACTGTTGAAAGGGATGGCAAAGGCTGCTCTATAATGTACACTACAAGCCAGACTCATGGAAATAAGGGACTTGCAAAAGGATTTCAGCAAAGACTGGTTGGCCAGTCTCCACCTTACACAACTATGTAGGTTGTGTCCAAAGCAAACTCTCTAAGATTAGGGCTACTTTCACACTGATCCACCGCAAAAACACAAGCGTTTTTACTGCATTTTTTTTTAATGGACACGTGACTTAAAACTGCACCAAAATGCTTCTCAGACATTTTTCAGGTGTTTTCTATTGATTTCAATGGGAGCAGACGATCTTGGGGCATATAAAAAAAAAAAAAAAAATTAACTCCCCAAACATACCCCAAAGATGCTGCAAGCAGGAGTTTTTACAATGCACGTGCAACACCTCAGTGTGAAAACACATACATTCACATACATAGGGAAGCGGATTGCTTGAGCTTTTCAGGTGTTTTTTTTAATGCAAATTCTTTAAAAAAAAAAAAAAAAAAAAAAATAGGGCCCTTCTCACATCACACCAAGCAGGAAAAACAGGACTGCTCACATATTGCTCACACATTCATACAGAAAGCATTCTTGCTGGTACATAGCAAGTGACAGGTCCTTCAATTTGTGCCCCACAGACTTCTTCATTCTGTAGCAAAATGAACAGCACTACACAGCTCATTGGAGAAGGGAAGTTTTAATGGAAGAATCGATTTGGTCACGGTAGAAGCCATAGTGCATGTTTTAAAAGGACAAACCTTAACCAAGCACATGTTTTAAGGCCTTGTTTCTTTTTACAGTTGTATTGGTATATAAAAAGAGCAGTTCTTCACAAAAAAATAAAAAGTCACAAAAGCTTCTAGATTGCAACTGCCGTAATGTTGCACCAATCAGATTTTCCCTTTAACCACTTGCCATCCGCCCAATAGCAGAAGTACTGCTACAGGGTGGCACGGCTGCGCAAAACCATATAATATTATACACACACATTGTGTATATATATACATATACAGTCATGGCCGAAATTGTTGGCACCCTTGATATATTTTTCCTGAAAATCAAGTATTTCACACAAAAAAGGTATTATTAACACATGTTTTTGCTATACACATGTTTATATCCCTTTGTATGTATTGGAACAAATATAAAACAGAGGCAGAAAAGCAAATATGACATAATGTCACACACAAACCCCAAAAATGGGCTGGACAAAAGTATTGGCACCCTTAACTTAATATTTGGTTGCACACCCTTTGGAAAACATAACTGAAATCAGTCGCACTATACCATCAATAAGCTTCTGACACCTCACACACGGCAAACAGTCCGTCCATTACCTCTCACCCCTCACCGGAATTTTGGACCACTCTTCCTTTGCAAACAGCTCCAGGTCTCTCTTATTGGAAGGACACCTTTTCCCAACAGCAATTTTAAGATCTCTCCACAGGTGTTCAATGGGATTTAGATCTGGGCTCATTGCTGGCCACTTCAGAACTCTCCAGCGCTTCTTTGCCATCCATTTCTGAGTGCTTTTTGACGTATGTTTGGGGTCATTGTCCTGCTGGAAGACCCAGGATCTTGGACGCAAACCCAGCTTTCTGACACTGGGCCCTACAGTGCGACCCAAAATCCTTTGGTAATCCTCAGATTTCATGATGCCTTGCACACAGTCAAGGCACCCAGTGCCAGAGGCAGCAAAACAACCCCAAAACATCATGAACCTCCACCATATTTTACCGTAGGTACTGTGTTTTGTTCTTTGTAGGCCTCATTCCGTTTTCGGTAAACAGTAGAATGATGTGCTTTACCGAAAAGCTCTATCTTGGTCTCATCTGTCCACAAGACGTTTTCCCAGAAGGCTTTTGGCTTACTCAAGTACATTTTGGCAAACTGTAGTCTTGCTTTTTTATGTCTCTGTGTCAGCAGTGGGGTCCTCCTGGGTCTCCTGCCATAGCGTTTCATTTCATTTAAATGTCGACGGATACACATGATGCTCCCTGAGCCTGCAGGACAGCTTGAATGTCTTTGGAACATGTTTGGGGCTGCTTATCCACCATCCGGACTATTCTGCGTTGCAATCTTTCATCAATTTTCCTCATCCGTCCACGACCAGGGAGATTAGCTACAGTGCCATGGGTTGCAAACTTCTTGATAATGTTGCGCACTGTGGACAAAGGCAAATCTAGTTCTCTGGAGATGGACTTGTAACCTTGAGATTGTTGATATTTTGCCACAATTTTGGTTCTCAGGTCCTCAGACAGTTTCTCGTCTCCTCTTTCTGTTGTCCATGCTTAGTGTGGCACAGACAGACACACAATGCAAAGGTTAAGTGAACGTCTCTCCTTTTTATCTGCTTTCAGGTGTGATTTCTATATTGCCCACACCTGTTACTTGCCCCAGGTGAGTTTACAGGAGCATCACATGCTTGTAACATACATATACAACATTTGTCCAGCCCATTTTTGGACAGGGTATACATACATTTGTCCAGCCCAGATACATTATGTCGAATTTGCTTTCTTTCCTCCTTTTTTTGTTTTGTCCCAATACACACAAAGGGAATAAACATGTGTATAGCAAAACATGTGTTAATGCAATACGTTTCGTGAGAAATACATGATTTCCTGGAGAAATATCAAGGGTGCCAACAATTTCGGCCATGATTGTATACACATACATATACACACACACACACACACACATACACACACGTGATTTGCATTTCTGGGTAGGGGGCAGCCCTGCTCATGCTACTAATGGCAGCTGGGGATGTCAATCACAGAATCCCGGCTGGCACTCTGCGATCAACGGCAAAGCCGGCGGGAGAGGTGTGTAACAAAAACAGATCTCTTGTCAGCATAGACATGCTGCAGAGATACAAAGCAGCATGTCTCCCAAGTAAAACAGAACACAGCACACAATGTAAAGACACACAGCACACTAGTAACCCTTTGATCGCCCAGATGTTATCCCTTTCCTGCCCAGTTTCATTAGTACAGTGTTAGTGCTTTTTATTAGCATTGATCACTGTATTCGTGTCATTGGTGATGTCAGTGGCAGTCCCGCTATAAGTCGCTGATCATCGCCATTACTAGTATACAAAAATAAAAGATCCAGTATATATACCGCCAGTTGTAGACGCTATAACTTTCAAGTAAACAAAATATACCCTTATTGGCATTTTTTTTTTCTTAGCAAAGACATGTAGAATACATTCTGATTTTTGTTTTACAGCACATGCGGTGGCCATCTTGTCTGTCACTTCTCCTTCAGCAGCCTCAGTAGCTGTGTAGACAGAGTGGTGGATGGCTGGAGACATGGACTGATCCAGATGGTTTTCCTCCTCCAGCGGTGTCAGGGCTCCCAGCAGACCATGCGACATTTATAAACCTTGCGGCCATCAAAGCAAGTAAGTCCTCCTTGATGACTAAAGTAGACACCCTTGCACTGGAATGCAGGCCGAATCGGCAGGACTTTGATAAGTACCAGGGCTGCCTCACCGCTGCAGAGATCCATATATCTGAAGTGGACACAGCGGCCTCCACTGCCCAGACACTGACTGGCCTCCAGCATAAAGTTAAGCTCCTCATGGCCTGCTTAGAGGATGCGGAAAATCTCCTTAAGAGAAATAATGTCCAGGTAGTAGGGCTCCCAGAGGGTGCAGAAGGCTCCAATTTGGTGGTGTTTGCAGAGGCTTTCTTCAAGCAACTCCTGGGTCTACATCCCCAGTATATGTGGTGGAAGGGGCCCACAGAGTCACCACTGGGCCCAGTCTGGCTGGGTCAGTGCCACGACCTTTCATGGTCTGCTTGCTCAACTATAGGGATTCAGATTTGATACTAGCAGAGGCCTCCAAACATCAGGGGTTGCACATGAGAATGCAGTGATTCATCTCTACCTCAATTTTTTT